TCTAACTTTAATCTTGATATGCCCGTCACCTGCTCGCGTCTCCAAGGCTAACTCGAGGAAGACTGACGCATCACCATATCTTCATGTAAACAAATATTGTTTACACTGCGATAACCAGATGCCACTCGCATGACCTTGACCCCAACTGACCTCACGATATCACGAGGGAATTGAAAGGTTTTCTATCAAGACATTGATATTATATTCCCTGAATATAATAAGTCTGTTTTCTATGGCTTAGTGTGAGATTCGATACGAATTCCCGGAAAATATGGCTTTTAATCTTCCCTTTGCCCTTGAAAAAACAAAATGGCTAGTCTCGAATTTTGTTCAAAGGGTTTCACGGTTCAGCTTTCAGTAGGAGATAATGCCATTGTTTCTCCCTGCAACTTAAAGAACACGTTAGACTAATGACATCATCTTTTGAAAGACTTTCCGTGGGAGTGAGATACATCCCTTTCCCAAAAGGCAACGCACTTGTAAGTTTTCTGGTGTTGCAGATCTCCATAGGCGGCGCTGATTGCCTATCATCAGGTGATTCGTCTGCTCATTTCCTATAAAAAAGAAAAGAGAATTTAGCAATAATATCCGCATAATTTAAGATAATCACTAACCCCAAAGCGTTTACCGCATCGTAAAAAAGTACCCTTCAAAGTTTAGACAGTAATCTAGCTCGATTATGAAAAGGCTTAATGTCGCCCATCGATTTTGTCTCGCACGTCCTATGGCGGCTCAAGTTGGGTGTCATTAGTTTGCCGTTTAGGCGAATCGGGCGAGTCGATAAGTAACTCAGACTTTACGTCACGTCACGATCTTCATCACTAAGCACAGTGACGTCGGCTTTGACGGGTTGCTGTTTATTTAGGCACCCTAGAATTTAAATTGCGTTAACTCGTCGAGTACCGGTTTTGTAGACACAATTATAGAACAATAGGTTGCGGTCACCGGTGACCGCTTGGTGTTTGACAGTTTAAAAGACTCTCGAGCATGAAAAAGACTTGTCGCCCTTTGAATAAATATCTCGGTACTACAATAATGTTTTTGTGATAAATTCCCAAGAGAAGTATGACGCGAATGACAACCGATGTGGTTTAAAAAAAGTAGTAAATTGCAATAACAAGTACGAGAATTCTATAATTGGCTTGTAGGTCTGTGGTAAAGAATAATCGAGTTGTTCCCAGTATTTTTACAAGACCTATCTTAAGTCTTAACGATGGACACGCAAATGCCAGCACTAATTATCATCGCAGCGCTATTTATATCATTCAATTACGTAGTACATATATACAAGGTGCTTCCTCTAATTGTTACGCGTCAAGCCTCGTGGGTCCATTGTCTAAACTCACCCTACAATGCGTCAAAAGAAAGGTGTAATGTTACCCAACTTTTGTACTCATTGACAAGTATAACGTTACCATTCTGCTACAAGGAACAGGTTCGAAATATGAAATTTTCCACCATTCTCGTTTAGGACATGTTACAGAACTGTACTGTTTAATTTTTAATTATAAGTAAAATGTGTGTTTTTTATAATAAGTTAGTGTAAGAGATGTTGAAAAAAAAGGAAGTACCGTGGTATTCCAATCATCGTATAAGAATTCAAGATAATTTTGCGAATTGGAGACAACATTCTTGTCGGGTGCACTGGAACACAACTTGTGATTGTACGTACTATTCATAAATGGGTCAATATTCAATCGTTTCATTGCTTATTGCGTGCAATTGGCCGGCGCCATGATTTTTGTCACGGAGGTCAATTTATTGCACCTTTTCGGAACAAATAATATTTAAGTACATCTAGGGTCCTTGAGGCAATTATTGATCCAACTCTGATTGGAAATTCTTCACTTGAATTACAATTTAGGGGCTCAAACATGAAAGACCATTGAGAGAACATAGGCCTGTGAATTTATTTCAGATTATTTATTTACAGATAAAACAGTTATTTATGTCTTTTAACAAACTTGATAACAACTAGAAAGGAATGATAATATAGTTAATTAATATGTCTAACTGGCTATCTTGATGTTTTTGTTATTTTTTTGTATAATACATTGCATTTACGTTTAATGTGCTCTTTGTTTACTAACAGTTCTTTAATCTTTTTGTGTGATTTACTAATATTTAATTACCTTAGTATGAAATTGCAATTTTATTTTGCGTTAATTTTCAGAAAGTTGTTCATGTTCATGACTGAATTTGAGGAAAATGGACTCGAGAATGGACTTGTCACTGTCAAGAATGTTATTAACTAGCCTTTGCTAGTGGTTTCATACGCGTTACCTGGTTAAAGCAGCCCATGTGTTATTCCAAACTATTGTATTTTGTTTCTATCTCTATCATAAGTATATTTTTTAATAGGCACCCCTAATAGGGTTAAACAATAAATCTGTTGTCTCTCATAATATGAAATTGCAATTTCATTCTATTTAGTTCTATTTTTGATCTAAAGTGTTAATTAGATTTATTTTTAAGACGCCATTTGCTACACTAGCGCCTCTAACGACGCAAAAACCCTGATTGTTTTTTTTTTATATTGTGGTGATTGCCATTTTTGCTTTTAAAGTTTTACTGGTATATTTGTGTGAAACTTCACTACTTGTAGTCAGCAACGGAGTATCAGGATTTAGGATTTAAGAAAATATTTTTATTGGGTTCAGCATTTTCTTGTGAATACTACAGAGAATTTGTATATTGAAAAGTAGACATTTGTGAAATACATCGAGAGACTTCTCATCACTACATAGTATAAAACAAAGTCGCTATCCGCCGTCTGTCTGTCCCTATGTGTGCTTAGATCTTTGAAACTACGCAACGGATTTTGATGCGGTTTCTTTAATAGATAAAGTGATTCTTAAGGAGGGTTTATACGTATAACACGTGAATTGCACCCGTGCAAAGCCGGGGCGGGTTGCTAGTTTCAAATAAAACCCAACTTAGTCTATAAAGTAAAATACTCACGTATGACCCTGAAACTCACATAATTTAAATTCTATTAAAGCTCATGTGTTTCAGCAATTTTAATTTTATTGACATAGTAAAATTCTCTAGCTTTTATTGCGTCTTATATTCATTTAGAGTTTGACACCATGGTTTTTACTGTTCCGTTTTTAATATTATGCACGGGAACTAGTATAGAGTCCTATAGTTTAAATAAGGATATTTTTAGCACAGGACAAACTGTATTCGCCTATAAACAGCGCCAATTTAATTTTATTTCCTCTTATTCACATAACATCACGCCTTTTATCCTCGAAGGGGTAGGCAGAGGTGCACATTATGCCGCTGTATAATGTAACACCCACTTTTCACTATTTATGTTACGAGTCCCATGTAATAGTGGGTGAGCCTATTGCCATATACCGGGCACAATTCCAGACTCCGTGCCAGTACTGATTTTTTTTTTAAAAACCCAATAATATTTTGTCCTACCCGGGAATCGAACCCGAGACCCTTTGCCCGGCAGTCGCACTTGCGACTACACGGCCAATGAGGCAGTCATCAGGCAGTTCCTCTTATTCATTTACACTAATTTAATACTAAAACAAGATTAATTATAATCAGATCCTTCGGGTCTTATATTTATATAATAGGTAGGTCTTACAAGTCATCCCCGAAATTCTGAGACGCAATATAACAAAATAGAAACAAATATTTTGATTGCGACGTATTTTTATGCCCCTCAACTAAAACTTGTTTTGGCCGTTTTTAAAACGATCTGGAGTTACTTGCCATTTAAAATAAGCATAGAATCAAGGTCAGATTAATAAATTACTTTTAATTCTGCGAATGGCTTGAAGTCGGCCGTTGTTTAAAGTATTTTTTTCGTTGATGTTATGCGAAATTTAGATTCTGTAGTGATTGAAAATAAATGGTTTTACTCATTTTGTAGGTTGCCCACGTATTAGTGTTAATCTGCTTTAAAAACTGGGTTTATTACAGTTCATTTGAAACTTGAAATTAGGTTTAATATTGGTCGTTGCGTATTTATAGCTCACTATGGAATAAAAGTACATTTCGATGCAGTTAAGTAATTCTTTAAGATTACCTGACATCCAAAGTTACCTGGCAAGTTTATTAATAACAGAAGGTCGGATTCCGATCAGATTGCCAAAATAAAAACATGATTCGGAACTAAAGATTTAGTACTGTCATTTATTTTTGTAAGTATTATATTGACATCTTTTATATTGTTTCTTTAGAATGGACCTATAGGATAGGTTAGGCTTAATTTTGCAACTAACTAACGACTAACTTATGTCTAAAACGTGTTAAGTGTGGGAGAGCCATGCTTCGGCACGAATGGGCCGCCTCGGCCGGAGTGATACCACGGCCTCACAGAAAACCGACGTGAAGCAACGTTTGCGTTGTGTTTCGTCGTGTGAGTGAAGTTACCAAGGAGGCCCAATTACCCTCCCCTTCCCCAATCTCCCCAATCCCTGAATCCCCAAAAGGCCGGTAACGCACTTGTAACGCCTCTGGTGTTCCAGGTGTCCATGGGCGACGCCGATTGCTTACCATCAGGTGATCCGTCTGCTCGTTTACCGGCTTATGCCATAAAAAAACGCACATAGCGTGTGTTTTAAAACAATTCTGTTAAATACAATCCAAAATATGCTGTATTATAAAGCTTAATAAGCCCTTTTCCTGGATCTAGCCTTAGTCTATGTCGATAGGCAATAACGGTCAAACGGAACTGTGTATAGGGTTCATAACTCAAAAGAAAAAAAAAAACGGGTTCCTTCGAAGACTATTTCATACTCTGTCTTTGTCTTATAACTCTCATGAATTAATTACATTTGTATAACGTCTTACTCACGTAACTATTTTACAAAATACTTCGACCAGTTTCAAGTCACGCTAGGGGTTCATATTAGTCTTAGCCATGGCTTTGAAACTAATCGAGTAACTTCGTCAAACAGTTACGACCCATTTTCTCAAGGATGTGTCGAGGTATAAAGTAGATATGTATTTTTTAAATCCTTTGGTATGTGTTTCAGGCAATGGTGGGGAGACGACATGGTGTTTCAGCCAGGTGAAGGGTACCTTGGAAGATGACGTCACCGAAGCTGATCTGATATCATGCGTAGAATTCAACCATGACGGCGAACTACTCGCCACTGGCGACAAGGGCGGCAGGGTTGTTATATTTCAGGTTAGTTTTATTGTTTGTATTTTCATAAAGGCTTTGTTTCAATAAGTATTCTTGAATAGTCTATTTATTAGTTCATTCGTACAGATCCAGTTTAAACTGTCAAACACCAAGCGGTCACCGGTGACAGCAACCTATTGTTCTATAATTGTGTCTGCAAAACCGGTACTCGACGAGTTAAGTCAAAAGTAATCTTGTTTTAATGATAATATATTCAGTTGTACCCCATTTGTTCTCAATTCCTAATTATTGTATCGACGGTTGAAAAGCTAATTGATCTAAGCGAATTTTTAGCGATATTCAGTTAAATATATGTGCAAAATCATGGAAATTTCCTTCGTCGTAATGTAGGTCGCTTAGATCAATAATTAGCCTTTCAACCGTCGATATTTACTTGACATTAAGAGCACATGATAATGCTAGACTATGCGCCTCCTCTACATAAGAGCGTTTGCCGTAAGCGTGGACACTCTGGACAGGTGGAGTGAGCAGAACTCACCTACTCTATCAAATATGTATTCCCTTGTCGGCTAAACCAAGTCCTAGTCGGAAAAACAGAGGTGGTGTTACCTATTCTGATACAGAGAAAATTAACAACATAACATCACACCTTTAATTCCCGAAGGGGTAGGCAGAGGTGCACGTTACGGCACTTAATGCTGCTGTACAATGTAACACCCACTTTTCACTATTTATGTTATGAGTCTCATGAGACATTATATGTAATAGGGGGTGAGCTTATTGCCATATACCTACCTGACACAATTCCAGCCTCCGTGCTGATCTCCGACTGAAACCTTTTTAAAAAAGATCCAGTAATACTTTCCCTCCAGTCGTACTTGCGCCCCACTCGGCCAACGAGGCAGTCAGACAGAAAATTACAATATCGCAATTAACACACCCTTTCTTCTATTCCAGAGGGACCCAGCATCGAAGCAGTGTGTCCCAAAGAAGGGGGAGTACAATGTGTACTCAACATTCCAGTCACATGAACCGGAGTTCGATTATCTCAAATCGTTAGAGATTGAGGAGAAGATCAACAAGATCCGATGGTTGAAACGGAAGAATCAGGCACACTTTCTGCTATCCACCAACGACAAGACCATCAAACTGTGGAAGGTTAGTGTTGTATGTATTTTTATTCCTTTTATTAATTTTTTTAGGTTTTATGTCTAAGTAAGATTTGGTTTGTTATGGCACTCGGTCGTTATAGTTTGGTCTAAATTACCCTAGAATTTGATATTTTTCTAAGGTTGTCTTCTATGATTTTTGGAATTATTGTGTATATAAAGACGAATAATATTAGATATTTGATACAAATAGTAATTTTAGTATTTGTAAGGAAATGTAGTCATTTTGCCATGGAATACTCAAATAGTATTCAATTTTGTGTCATTTAAAGAGACTTGTTTGGTTGGTCTATTTTCAATACTGAAACAATTAAAAATGACTGACAATTCAACCATAAGTAATAAATAGTTTTATTGCACAGCGAATGTGATAATTTTACTGTAAAATAATACGTTTTTATACACTTGGACAGTAATTAAGTAAATGATACTATGATGCATGATATGTTTTAACTTTCATAAGTAATCAATCCTACAATCCCGGGTTGAATAAATAAACATGCTTAAATTTGCTGTTATTATAACTGTAATCGTTAATTCCTGAAGCTCCATTTCATGTTCAAAGCTAATTCTTTATAAAATTTTATCAAAACCGGCACAGCGGTTTTACATATAAGCCTACAATACAATTAACATACTTACACACATTTTAACTAACAACAAAATACCCATTGTTAGTTCCCTATTATACAACTTAGTACATTTATCACGAACAAGCCGTGTCCTCTGAAAAATTCCTATGTAATTTGACACTCGCATTCCGAACTATAGCGGAGTAAACGGTTGACGATTTTAAATGATCGCTGTGACGTAGGTCTTTTTGTTAAATTGTTAGTCAAGTTTTTTGTATTGGGTTACGTTTAGACTTGTTTTATGTGTATGTATGTATGTATGTATGTATGTGTGGGGGCGTCCATAAATTACGTGAGGTTTTTTTTAATTTTCTGTCCCTCCCTCCCTCCTCACCAGGGGGGAAGGGGTGAGATTTTGTGAGATTTTATTCAACACCCTCCCGCATCCCCCAATCACACGTGAGATTTTTCAAAATGTTGGTTTTTCACGTACACGCGTTGGATACTTATTGTAAAAAGAAAAAAAAATACATTATGCATGAACAATTAAATCTTAAGCATGTACAAGCTAGATTAAATAAACTAAAATAGTACCTATATTTTTTTTTGCTTCAATCAGAAAAAAAATTACGTGATATTTGCCGAGCCCCCCTCTCTCTCCAACGTAAGATTAGATGAAATTAGAGTCTACCCCCTTCCCCTCTTAAACATCTCACGTAATTTATGGATGGCCCCTATGGTACATTTAAGGTTGATGTGAAGGGGTTCCTAACGCCCGAATACTGAAAGGCTACTCATTTTTAAATTGTACTTAAATATCGTGTCACCTCTTTCATTTTACATAGAATTTTGTAGTGAACTTGTACTTGGAATGTCCAGGTGTCGGAGCGTGACAAGCGAGTGACAGGCTACAACACGCGCGAGGAGGGAGGCCGGCCGCGGGACCCGGCGCGCGTCACTCAGCTGCGCGTGCCCACCGTGCGAGCCGCCGAGCTCATGGTGGAAGCCTCGCCTAGGTCAGTACATAACAGCAGGGTACATATGTCACCACCGCTTCTCTTCACGCGGGTCTACGAGACCCACTTACTGCAATGGCGCAGCGGCTGGATAACGTAATGTTGTGCCGCGATGTAGACTGTTGTGCCCCGATTTTCGATTCCTGCACGAAACAGTTTTTTGTGAGCGTTTACAAATTGTGTGATATATGATCCGTGTGCTCGTTTACCGGCTTATCCCATAAAAAATAATTTCGTACCTTTCCACTCATCACTAAAAAACACAAGATGACTCACTAACGATACAATCAAAACTTTTATCTTTTTATTGCACAATTTCCCACCTCACTATCTGCCCTTACCATAGATAAACAAAATAATTTAATTAGTTTCCATACCCCATACCTATAGGATTATGAAACGTTTTAATAAAGCATTATCTTGACTGATTTTTAATCTAGTGATTTGTTATCGACGATGGAAAATAGCTTTTAATACCTAGGTGTTATTGCAGACTTTGGTTCTGTTTTGTTGTGAAGCTTTAAGCTGTGGTACCTTGACATATTAAGTTGGGTTGTTGGCTTTGTTATTGGTGATCATGAGCTACCTTATCTATACAAAAATATTAGCGGACCCAACAGACGTTGTCCTGCAAATCCACTTCAATGTATAAACAAAAATTCATTCAAATTAGTTCAGCTGTTTAGAATAAATAACCTAAACATCGACTGCAGCGTCATCTGCCGGGCTGATTTGTGAATCTAAACCATTCATCCCCTTGAAAACACACAAAATCGGTCCAGTCGTTTGAGAGGAGTTCAGTGACATACACACTCACAGATTTTTTTTTTCTTTTTAAACACGTTGCCCCACATTAAGATTTTCTCCTGTGTCGTGGGTGCGTTTACAAACATACAAGTTCACATACACAATGACACCCTGACCCGAAACAACAATTTGTGGATCACACAAAGTGTTGTTCCGTGCGGGAATCGAACCCGCGACACGTTGCACGGCAGCCGGTTGCCCAGCCACCGCACCAACAGTGCAGTCGTTGTATATATAAAGATTACAGATTTTATACAAAATTATAAATTCTGTCCATTCATTTTAAAAGAATAAGTACCAAGACCAAATCAAATATTACGTATCTTGAATCTAATAATGCCAAAAACGTTTCGATGTTCCTATGTGACTGGTGACTAAGTGACACGTCATAAAAAGGAATATCATCCTCTGACTGTCCGCCGCATTCGTTTCCAATTTCAAAATCTGTTGCGTATGTAGTCCCTTCGTCGGTTCTTGCGACTCCTGCGGGAAGTGTTCTGTTTTTCCATCACCAAAATGAAGATGACTGGCTTGGCAACTGGCTGCCGCGCAACGTGTCGCGGGTCTGATTCCCGCACGGAACTACTCTGTGTGATCCACAAATTGTTGTTCTTGGTCTGACTGTCATGTGCCTGTTAACTTGTATGTTTGTAAACGCACCCACGAGACAGGAGAAAAACATAGTCTGGAGCAAAGTTTAAAAGATGGAGGGAGGTATCACAATGTACAATTAATTATTGATGTTTTTTTGTCAACAGGAGGATATTCGCGAACGCTCACACATACCACATAAACTCAATATCCCTGAATTCGGATCAGGAGACGTATCTCTCAGCAGATGACCTGCGCATCAACCTCTGGCACCTGGAGATTACTGACCAGAGCTTCAATATTGTTGATATTAAGCCCGCCAATATGGAGGAGCTTACAGAGGTCAGTGTATAACAATATTATTATATAACTTGGGTTGAATTATGGATGTGTGTTAGGGGCGTTGCTAGCGCCGTATCTGCCGTATTAATTAAAGGTCCCTGGACTACGGGAGCCGGGCCTGCATAGCTCCAATGAGCGTAGCGCAAAAATAAAAGCTTCTCAGTTTTTATTTTCTTTCAGTAATCACATTTTTTGCCGTGTAAAGCTTGCGTTCATAGATTGGCACTAAAATTTAAAAAAACTAAAGTAATTATAGTCTGATAATTTGGGCAAAGGGAATTTTCTGGAAGTTTTTACGATTATCACACATTTGATTAGTATTTTTTACAAAAAAATTGCTTGTGAGAAATATTTACTGTTCATAAGGCCACCAATCAAATTTTTATACGGGGTCCCGCCAAAGCATGCTGCGCCACTGGTATGTGTATGTTACTCGTTCACGGAAAAACCACTGCACAAATCCGAACGAAATTTTGCTACAGAGATAATAAAGAAGAAAGAAAAAAAAACATGTATTCAGCACCAGGCACGATGCAGTGTAAATAGAATATAAACTTTGACAATGAGAGTAAGATACACATTAAGTAAAAAATTGAAACAGAAGAATTAGAAAAGAGACGCTAGATATAGATTATAGGTTGTCAAAGTTTCATATGAAATGCTTTTGCTCGGAAAAATATGCTATACCTAGACTTAGTAGGCATCCTGTAAATAAGCGGAATAATGAAACTTGTTCAAAGTTTTACAATGTATATTATTATTTATAATCTATTATCTACTATATGCCATAACTGATACGGCGTGTAACTGAGAAGTAGATAGCATTTAATTAGCACTCGTCCAGCGCCTGTTCTAATTAAATTATATAAACTAATATCTAAATACTAGTGGACTCTGTAATAAAATAGACATACGTAAGACGTGTGCATAATAAATTGTCATAGAACACATCTTATATAATCAAATCAAATGGTACAAAGATCGAATCTTGTAATCTAAAGGCACTGTTACACATGGTCATTTCAAGAAAATAATTGCGGCGCTGATCATTTAATATCAGGTGACCTATTCCATAAAAAACCACGAAAGCATGCTTCTATTGATCACTTGTCATTAAGTAGCATATGTATCGGAATGATGCTAAAATTAACGTGCTAATGTCGGGCATGATTGTGAATCGACAGGCGTTCGATTTTTGAACATTTTGAGCATGCTCAATAGTACGCTTTTTAGTATGATATTTAGCATATTTATCAATACCTTCATGTAGATTTAGGGCCGATTATTCAACCAACAGTTGATTCTTAACTGTAGAAAAAATTGTCAGTTAAAGAATTGTCAAATGAAAAAAA